GTTTCTTTTTAATTATATTTTATATTTATTCAAATATCAAATTCCCTTCAAGCCAACCTGCTTATATATATATATATATGTATATATGTATACATATACATATATATGTATATATGTATATATATATATATATATACATACAAAAAAAATTGTATGCCAAATTAATTAATTTTCTATGAAGTGTAATTAAGTCATCTTAATATGCTTTAGAAATATGAAAAGACATAATTGCTTTTAATCGATCTTTATAAAAAACGACCTCAATACCTTTTAATAGCCAATTAATTATTTTTAGTAGGAGAGACAAAACCATTATTACAATGTTCTAGTAAACAAGGTTATTGAGTTTGGATAAATCATATTTTTCTAAGAGGTTTCAGCTTTTGTTAATTAGTCAAGTTATTTAGATAGCTTAAAATATATAAGTAGTAGTTGAATTAATAGGAAGCTTGAGGTGAATTGGAGAACATTTTGGTTGACCTTAGAAGTTTTATATAGAGAGTCTGTGAGGTTAATATTTTGTGAAGATTTAGTAAAAGTTTTTTTTTAATAAGAGATATCTTTGATGTAATTGAGATTTAGATAATAAGTATTTATGTATATTTGGGTGGTAGTGTGATATATAATATTTGTATTAAATTTAATAGTTGTTTCTATATATAACTTTTTAGTGTTATTTATGTGAGATTAGTGGTTGTAATATTTTTCTTTACTTGTAACCTATAATGTGATGTTTATTAATTGAATTCATAATAGGATTTGAATGAGCTTATGAGCATTAATGAACTTATATTAAATTTAATTGTTTAGTTTGAGTTCTATCTAGAAAAATTTAAACAGATGTGTTACTCTTTTTCAACTTTATATATATCATTTTTTTAGGGTTTTTTTTTTATATAAAGTTGGTGTATTTAATAATTTGATATGTTAAATTGATGTATCTAACAATGAAGTTTTCATGAAGTAAGTTTTTGCTAAATCACATTAAATATTTAATTTTTTATTTGATTTGATTTTAGATTATTGTTTTGTTTGAGTGTTTTTCATAACAGACATATAATAGACACATAAGTAGACAATAACTAAATAATTTATGTGCTATGTTGAGAGGGAGCAAAAAAAATTTACGTGTAAAAAAATAATGCCCAGACCAAGGGAAATTCTTTGATGATATTATTAAACCCAACTTAGTGTATCAAACCTAAAACCTCCAGACCATACACCTTGCCCAACTCAAACCTAAAATTAAATTATATAGGAGTTTTCTTGGTGTGACCTGATCACCTTGACAGGATAATGGTAACTCAGATGATTAGTAAAAACATGGTTTGACTTTAAAAATATTTATAAGATGACATCTTTTTTTTTAAAAACAATTGATACAGTGAGACATTAAATCAACCCGAGTTAATATATCTAACTCATGTCCTCAGTCAATAACTCCATTAAGTTTAATAACTCTTTCTTGATACCTTTTATATTTAATTATATAATGAAAATATAAAGGCTTGAGTAACAGCTCAATATCATAATGTTTTTTCCGAGATCATGATAACCCCATAAAAATTAAATTAAAATAAATTTTGAAGCTTGATTCTGAACAATTAAGTTTTTTATGGAGTAGTTTTTTTTAATAATATGATAAAACAAATAAATGCTAAAAAAGCCGAGCACCAATTAAATATCGATATGTTTTTTTAAGATCACAATAATTTTGTAAAAAGTAAATTGAAATAAATCATGAAACTCTAATCATAATAATTACTTTCTTTTCTCTAAATCATTTTTTATTAAATAATATGATCATAAAATTGAGCACCAACCTAATACCGGAACACTTTTTTAAGACTATTATAATCTCGTATGTAGAAAACCAAAATAAATAACAAAGTTTAATTCACAAGTAACTCGATATTGAAATATAAAAATTAAAAAAAAAATATTAATGTTTCAATGAACAGTAACATGTGAAAAGGAAGAAAAAAAATGATTTCCCCTCCTCAATTAGTCCTTGTTAATTACATTTGTGGCCCTTATTCCACTATGGCAGATTATTATTTTTTTCAATGTAAAACAAATGCTAAGGGAAAAAAAAAATCTAATACCTAGGTTTTTTTTCATATCACTAATTTAGATAATTTGAATAAACAAATACAACAATAATACATAAATTGATAAAATATTACAACAAATAAAATGAAAAACAAATCTTAACTTGAGCCTACTTAGAGAATAAAAAAAAATCTAATAATAAAGGGTGAAACTGGAAAACAAACTATAACAAGCAAAAAATAAAACATCCCAGTATATAGTTAAATTATTAACTCGCAAACTCCATAATCATGAGCATAAAAATAAAAAACACTCATAGAAAGAAAAGTAAGAAAAAAACTAAAAATCAATTTTGAATAAATCAAATGATAACATGATAACTCCATATAAGAAAAAATAAAAAGGAAAAAGATTAAGCTTAGCAAATAAAATGTTGTTAGATGAAAATAAAAAAAAATATATTATTAAAAAAAACTCGATTCAAGCCTACCCTAATCATGATGCAAAATCTTTGACTTAATCGTGATATTAGGATAACAGTGTTTAGAAGCAAATTAAATAAAATCATGAAGTTCAATTATCGAACAACATAATGTTGAAGGACAAGGATGAAAAATAGATTTAATAAAAAAAAACAAAAAAAATGGGACAACTCAATTTAATCTACTAACCTTATGACCAAGGGTATGAATCGAGATAAACCAATAAAAAAAAGAAAAAAAAAGATATGAAGACTAATTTTCAATAAATAAAATATTGAAAGATGAAATTGAAATAAAGTAATTTAAGAAAGGGAAAAAAAAAACAAAAGGCAACTTGTATTAAGATTTAAAATCAATGAATTTGCTTATTACCCTAGGACTAAACTCATAGAAAGCAAACCATAAAAAATAACAAGCAAAACTCTAAAGAAAAAGATAAAAAAAAAGAAGAAAACATAAGTTTAAAAAAGGAGACAAAAATAAAGTAAATTTGAGAAATTCTCTTAAACTTGGTTTAATCTTTAAATCTCGCAACCAATAAAATCCTGAATTTTGGCTTCAATAAAAAAGCTTAACTCCCAACCAATTTAATTTTAAAGAATGAAATTATGAAAAAAAATATTAATCTGAAAACCTTTCTAAAGAAAAAAATATAACAATAAAAAAATAAGGATCAAGTTTGATAGAAGAAAAAACCCAAAAAGGATGAAATTATAAAAACAAAACAAATAAGTATTAAAATAACAAAACCAAATTCGAAAGACTAAAAAATAATAGGGTGAAGAAATTAAAAAACATTTATAAGTTACTAAATTACTCAAAATTAAAAAAAATAATTGAAAGGATAAAGAAAAAAAAAATTGCAATGGTTGATTTGATTTATTGGGGCTAGCATTAAAATTTAGAAGAGAGAGACAAAAAAAAAAAAAAGGTTACCGAGGCTAAACTAAAGGTATGTTTGATGCACACAATATCCATTATAGAAAGTGCACTGAAACCCTTTAAAAATAACTATAAAAGATGTGTTTGGTGGATAGATGACTCTGTATGTGATATCTAAAAAAAATATAGGTCATCTATCTTTTGGCGTGTGTTATACTCTCGTTATCATTTTTTTTATATAAAAAAACTAATATTTAATATATATTCAACTTAAAATAATGTCATGAATAATTTAAATTAACAATAAAATCATTATAAAATGATAAAAAAAAACCAATGTAAAAGAAGTGTGTTGATTTTCTTTTGAAAAACAACAAAGTAATTTAATTATTTTGAAAAAAAAAAAGACCATAAAGCCTTCGATTGTATTGTTGGTGTAAAATAATTAATTTTCTGTGTATAAAAAAATAAAATTACTAACATAATCCAGCACAATTGCACAATTGGAAAGACCACTTTACCTCCTCCTCAATTTTATAAAATTACTATTCTATATTCATGGAGCTACAGTAACTTCTCCTCTTCGTTCGCCATTGGGTCTTTGTTAATGCATGTAAACGGTTATGCTATTTAAAATAGTAAAGGTACCGTAAATAGTTGGATCCAATGTAGTTTAACTCTAAGAAATCTATCCATGGAGTCATTCTGCCTCTTCCTAAAGGAAATCTGATTCTTTTAAAAGAACTCGCATCCCTTTGTCCCTCTCTTCACATTTATTCCATTCTCTTCTTCCTCGTAAACGCCTAGCATATATTCTTGACTTGATTCCTAAGCGAGTCAGTTTTCGAAAATGCCTGAAAATTAAGGGCAAAAACGCCTGGTGGCACATTGTTGAACAACAGCTTTTCTATCACCTTCTCTCTTCTGCTGACAACAAAATAGCATAAACGCTGTCGCAGTTGTAACAAAACATAAAAAGCCCTCGTATTTCAATTTGTAATCGTTCATTTCTCGATTTCTACCTAAAAAACAAAAAACTAATTCCTTTGATATATTTTTTTAGTATGGCCCACCTTGTTTCCGAACTCTTGGAGCTGCTGAGTTCAATACGTTTTTATGAGGTCAAACAAGAGGTTAGATTGGTTGTTGGTGTCAAGGAAGAAGTAAAAAATCTTACTCGCAAACTCCAGTCCGTAAAACTTGAGGTTGCAGATGCAGAGAGAAGATGGAGGCATGCACAGGACAAAAGTGCCAAAGAATGGCTCGATGACTTCGAAGAAATTTGCTATGGATTGGATGACGTGTTGGACGAGTGGGTAAATGCAATTCTGAAATCAGAAACAGAGTATGAAAATTCCAGCAAGTCTAAAAGGAAGCCGAAGATGCATTCCTCTCGTTGAATTTGCTATGGATTGGATGACGTGTTGGATGAGTGGGTAACTGCAATTCTGAAATCAGAAACAGAGTCAGAGTATGAAAATCCCAACAAGTCTAAAAGGAAGCTGAAGATCCATTCCTCTCGTTTCACTTGTGGTCAAGTTAGTCTGCGTGATGATATTGCTTCCAAAATGAAGAAATTAAATGAGAAGGCAAATGGGTTTTTTGGGCGGAAAGAACCAAAATTTGAAAAGAGCATTCAATATTATGCAACTGCTGTGGATGAAACATCAGTTTGTGGTAGAGAGAAGGAAAAGGATAAACTAATTAAGTTGTTGTTGGGGGAGAGTACTGATCAGGGAGGACGAAGCTCCGATGTCATCTCTATAGTAGGGATAGCAGGGGTGGGAAAAACTTATCTTGCTGAACTAGTGTACGAGGAGAAAAGTATAAAGGAAGAGTTCAATTTTAAGATATGGGTGTCCGTCTCACAATCCTTTGCAAGATCATAGCTGAAAAGTCAGATTTCCAATCTGTTCCTAATCGTTTTTCATCATCAGATAGAGTTGGCTTGAATGATCTGCTCGAAGAGACAGCTTTGGCAATTTTTGGAAAGAAGTTTCTACTTGTCCTTGATGATGTGCTGGAAATCGATTCTTTTATGTGGCACAAATATCTGAAGTGTTACTTTGAGTTTGGTTTGCCTGGAAGCAAAGTGTTGATAACCACACGCAGTGATATGGTTCCGGTTTCTATGGGAAACCACACCTGCCTTTTCCCTCTACATGGAATTACCGAAGATGATTGTCGGTCATTATTTAGTCACCGTGCATGGTTTGGAAACAGTAGTACAGAGAGTGAAGATATGGTAAGCATTCATAACAAAATTATCAGTGGCTGCAAGGGACTTCCATTTCTTGTAAAGGCTCTAGTAAGTCTTTTGCAAGTCAAAATTTCTACAGAAGAACGGCAGCATGTCTTGGATAGTAAGGTTTGGGACCAATACAAAGATAAACCTGGTTATCCTCCTCTACTGCTGTGCTATGATGATTTGCCCCCCAAAATGAGACGCTGTTTCACATACTGTGCTCTTTTCTCCAAAGATTTCAAGAAGTTAGAGCAAGAATACTGGATCAATTTGTGGATGGCACAAGGTTATCTAAGGGCAACACAGATTAAAGAAGAGGAATTAGTTGGTAAAGACTACTTTGAAAACTTAATCGCACGATCTTTCTTCCAAAATGCTATAAAGGATGGGAATGGTAGCACAGCAGCATGTAAGGTGCATGATCTGGTGCACGAGTTCGCGCAATTTCTTACCGAGAATGATTGTGTTAACGTTGAGGTCAGTAGTCATGGAGTGATTGGGATGGTCTCTTCTTGGAAAAAAGTTCGCCATTTGAAGATAGAGTTTTCGGAAAGGAATGCCTCATTCCCTGTCTCTTTTGATAGCTTAAAAAATTTGCGTAGCCTCCTCGTTGACTACCGTAAAAGTGACTATCCAATTGTTAGAGGAAACCAGGACGATTTATTAAGTCGATTGACTTGTTTGAGAGCATTGAAGTTGAGCCACATCTCAATTGAAAAAGTATCAAGTTGTGGTGCGTGTAAGCTGGCCCGGACATCTCAATTGAAGAAGTATCAGATAAGATAGGCAAACTGATACATCTGAGGTATCTTGACCTGTCTGACAATCAGCATTTGAAGTATTTGCCTGAAGAAATTGGTGAATTGTACAACCTGCAAACTCTAAACCTCAGTGGTTGCTGTGAGCTTCGAAGGCTACCATATGGCTTATTCAGGTTAATCAACTTGAGGCATCTCAACAATTATCACACTGATAAATTGACTTTCATGCCAAGAGGAATCGAGAGATTAACTTCTCTGAAGTCACTTTACAAGTTTGTTGTGAATTGTTCCTACCATAGTCACGAATTATCTAGTACTCTTGGAGATCTGCAAAATTTGAACGACCTTCGAAAATATCTTGAGATAAGTGGGTTGGGAAATTCAAAAGATGTGATCAGCGAGGCCAGAAAGGCACAACTTAAAAAGAAGAAACAGCTCGTTACTTTGAAACTCAGTTTTGTGGAGTGCAGAGCGTTGATGCATGACCAGGATGAAGAAATTATTCAAGCCTTAGAACCACCTCCAAGTTTGGAACATCTGGAGATAGAGCACTATGGAGGCATCAACATGAAAATTCCCAATTGGATGATGCAGTTAGCCAAGCTGTCCAAGATTTGTATCTCCAAGTGCCGAAACTGCAACAATCTGCCTCCATTGGGCAAACTACCGTTCCTTGAGTATCTTGAGATATCGGATATGAGGAGTGTGCATAGGGTGGGCGATGAATTTTTGGGAATAGAAACTAACCATAAAGAAAACGAAGATAAGAAAAAAGCTTTCCCCAAACTGAAAGAACTCAGATTTTCTCACATGTATGCATGGGATGATGTGCATAGGGTGGGCGATGAATTTTTGGGAATAGAAACTAACCATAAAGAAAACGAAGATAAGAAAAAAGCTTTCCCCAAACTGAAAGAACTCAGATTTTCTCACCTGTATGCATGGGATGAATGGGATGCTGGGATCGCCCTGGAAGAAGAAGTAATGCCATGTCTTCTTCGCTTATACATTGGATTTTGCGATAAGTTGGAAGCACTTCCAACACAACTTCTTCAGATGACCCCTCTACGGGAACTGGCTGTGGATGATTGCCGTTCTCTGGGAGGCCAATATCATTGGAATGTTGGAGTGGATTGGCACCATATCTCTCAAATCCCCATCATCTATTTTGATGGAGAGAGGTACGTAAACTATAAATATCCTGCTTGTGATTTGGCCTTTAATTTCTTGTAAATATATTTTAACAAATGACAAATTTCTTGTACATTGTTTTACGCACCTGTGAATTGTCAGTTGTTTCGAATTTTCTTTTGTTCGAATTTCTCTACTACTGATGAATTTCTAAAGTTGCAAGAGATGGTCAAAACTTTTCTAATTAATTTCTTTTTCCTTTTTTTCTCCAGATTCTCAAAACAAAAGAACAAGTCAGAATCTGTAGAAAAAAAGCCCTTTTGAAGCTGAAAAGAGAAGAAAATTCGAATAAAAAAGGGCCAAAGTTCAAGGAAATGGTCTTTACTCTTCAAATTGCAGGAAATGTTGATTTTAACTATCAGGGGAACATGGAGGAGCTAGTCCAGCAAAATGTTCATAAGGCAAGGAGTAAATTAATCTTTAGTCCGTGGGTTTTGAAATGAGATTATAATCTACTACTTTTTCTTTAAATTACAGGGACATAAGAAGAGATCATCTGTTTAAACTTCGAGCAGTATGAAGGTTTACGGCAAATGGATAGGAATGAATAACAGTGAATGCAAAGCATATTCTGTAGAGCACATACCGAAGAAACAGAGGAATTCTGCTTTTGAAGGACATTACGGGTTCAGAAGAACGTACATTCTGCCACTCTTCAACTTGATTTGAGGTATTTCAAACTGCAATATGCAATGTGACAGTAGAATTCGTAGACATAATCCAAAAGTGATTCTGCATGGTAACCGTCATGTGGATCGTAAAGAAGAACATTCCTGAGAAACTCCTAATCATATGCAATGAGAAAGCTTTTGATTGTTGAGACTCGAGAGAAACTGTAAAATTGGCGAGGGACAAATTGTACATAAATGACTGAGATTACTACAAGTGGTCTGAAATCTGTTTGTTGTGATCCTTGTGTAGTGAAAATAAGCTGGCAATCGATTTACAGGGACTGGAATCTGTTTTTGTTGCTTGTAGGCTACAAACCCATTATTGTATTCTCCGAACAGGGAAGTCACAGGCCCCACTAGCTTGTCTGATCAGTAGTGACTGTTACGACGAAGAGCTTCAACACATCTACGATTTCACACAAACAAGAGTGTTTCGTCTGCTACCTTATCCCTTGTTTTGAATGCGTGTAAAGTCATCTCCAAGTCACTCTACTCTCCATTCTTTTTTATATATTAGGACAAATTGTTTCTTTTTTTTTTTTTTTTTCAATAAGAATTCCATTGTTCAATTTAAGTCATATTTTAAGACTATAGTTCATGGCTTCATGAACTAAAGTTTTGATTAATGATGGTATAAATAACATAAGATGATGTTCTTCAAAAACTAGAAAATAGTCATGTATAGTATGATAATGTAATGGCGTATATGTTAGCTGAAGTCGTTTTCTTTTGGGTTTATTGGATATATCCATTAGTCGATAATATTTATATTCTATTTATTTTTGTATTTTAAAAATAATTTTAAAAAAATTTAAAATTTTTTATTTTTTACTTTGCTTCAAAAAAAATTTAAAATTTAAAATTTTTTATTTTGCTTCAAGTTAATTTTTTTATTTTTAATTTATTTTAATATGATAATATCAAAAATAATTTTTTTAAATATAAAAAATATTATTTTAATATATTTCCATTCTAAATTATCATTATAAAAAACTTAAAAAATAATTCTTTGTGTTTGTTAGGAGTTTGGTGTATTTGATGAGGCTGGACAAAACTTCTACTAAGAGTACTTTTCTTTTATGCTACAATGAACTAGGTTTGTAAAAAGGTTGGTGCCATTATTTTATAAAGGACAAGAGAAAGGAAAGTCCCTTGAAACAATTACCTTGGATATTTAAATTAGCATTAATAGTGAAGGAGAAAAGTCTAAAAAACCTTGAGTTCATATAGATATATTGCATGGAGGGTGATTTATTTTTTATTTATAATTTTGGATTATATGAAGATAAAAACACTCGAGGCCAAAGCAATTACAAAAACTAATCTTATTAATGTGTGCTGGTATTATTAAAAAAACAACCTTTGAATCAAATATTTTGGGAGCATCATATATCTGGGAAGCATGAATGCATTTTATAACTAGGATATAGTTTGAGCTAGGGTTCATTAGCATGTTCGAGCCCCTTCATTATGAGTTCAAGCACCCCTTGGTATGGCCAGCATTATTTTATAACCAGGTTCTTATGGGTGTGTTAGTTGTTGATTTTTATAATCTATTTTATTTAAAATTATATTTTATTTCTTTTTAAAAATTAATTTGTCATATCAATATATTAAAATAATCTAAAAATATAATAAAATTAATTTTCAATTAATATTTTTTTATTTTTTTAAAAAATACATTTTAAAATACAATTCTAAACAACATCATCAAATATATCGCAAATTAAATCAATTACATTATCCTTGTCAACTTAGAAGTATAGGAGCCCAACAATGACCACAGGTTTATCTAGATAGATTTGCATTAATCCAAAAAAAACAAGATTGAGTCTTGTTGAAAACTAGACATTCATGAATTTGATGGTAAAGGGTTGAATTTATGGATAAGAAAGAAGTAGGTACACCATTTTTTTATCTCTCCTTTTTTACGAGGAAGGTGATATATTATAGTCTTGAATACAACCTCTCATGTAAATACATTTATTTTTCTTTTTAGAACTAAAACTACATTGATTACCAATTTACCATACCACACTTATTGCACAATTAAACTACATTGGTAATTTGGATAAATAATGATATATCATTAATTGTTATTATTTAAAGTCAAAATATATTTATCGATATTAACAACTTCCTAATGAGTTAGTAAATGTGTTACAAAAATATATTGTAAAAAAAAATTAAAAAAAAAACTCAACATCATAGGACACTTTTTTCTTTGGTCGGGGCAATAATTTTGTGGCCAATTTTTATTTCGATGCCAAACTAGAATTTACACTTCTATTTTAATGAAAGAAAAACTATTTAGATTAAAATTAAACTGTAGTTAGTGATAACGAAAAAGACAAAGGATATTCTAAATAGGCTTTTTCATTGTATTTGAAAAGTGTTTTAAAAAAATTAATTTTTTTAAATTAATATATTTTTGATATTTTTAAATATTTTAATGTGTTGATTTTAAAAATAATTTTTAAAAAATAAAAAAATATTATTAATATATTTTTTTAAATTAAAAATATTTTGAAAAG